TACTGACCATCTGCCTCCTGTGGATATGGAGCCGCAGCGCGCGCCCCAGCCATGTAAGCTTGCATCCGACTCGATTATCATATCTGGAGTGGAACCGAAGATTGCCCGTCCATTCCATGCTTCCATGTGGGTCAGCCACCAGTCCAGTTCCTCCCTGGATTCTTCGTCCAGCGTGATGTTGGATTCGTACGACTGACCCTTCCTTAGGCAGGAAGCCTTTAGGCGTTGTAGCGCCCGATAGTGTAGCGGTCCCGGGAAGATCGCCTGTATAGAGGATGTTAGTAAGCCGATTACCCGAGCCAGTTGTCTTAGAGAAATGTCCAAACGGTTCATTATCCTCCTGATCTCCTTCTTGATGTTGGACATCTTGTCTGAAGGGAGGCACAGGATTTGTTGTACCGAATCGACTCGGAATCCTAGGAATTCCATCTGTTGAGAAGGTTGTAGCACCGATTTCTCCCAGTTCACTAGAAAACCGAGGTTCTGCAGGAGGTGAAGGGTCCACGACAGGTGTGACAGCAGAAGGGATCGTGTCCCAGACAGTATGAGGATATCGTCCAGATAGATAATGAGGCGAATCCCGTGTAATCTGAGAAATGCTACCACTGGTTTCAGCACTTTCGTAAAGCACCAGGGAGCGGAGGAGAGCCCGAAAGGGAGGCAACAGAAGCGCCATTTCTTTGTGCCCCACCGGAACTGTAGGAGATTCCTGTGTGTTGGTGCTATCGGGATCGTGAGATATGCATCTTGCAGATCGAGTTTCACCATCCAGTCTCCTGGGAGAAGGAGGTCTCGGAGGCAGTGTATGCCCTCCATTTTGAAATGCCGATATTGTATGAAGGCATTGAGGGGTCTCAGGTTGATAACTGGGCGGACACCCCCGCCTTTCTTCGGCACCAAGAACAGGTTGCTTATAAAACCTGGGGTATCTAGAGGGATTTCCTCTATGGCATTTTTGTTGTACAAGGTTTCTATCTCCGTGGAGATGAGGTCGTAGTGAGACTGAGGCATGTGTGGCACACGCGGGAGGGAAACCTGAAAGGGAAGACCCGTCAATTCTAGTTGGTAAACCTCTACAGTCTGCAGTACCCAACTGTCGGACGTGATAGTGGCCCACGTTTGAGAAAACAAAGCCAGTCTGCCCCCCACATTTATATGGGAAAAATGTGGGGAAATCGTACTCACCATAAGGGCGTTTTCCTGGGGTTGTTCCTCTGCCGCCACGGGCATTCCAAGATCTTCCTCGAGAAGGGAAGAACGGGGTGTAGGAACGTTCCTGGGTCTGTCTCTGTGTGTTGGAGGAGCCTCTGCCCGGTCTGGAGAAACCCCGGGGGTTGCGGCCGGATAGACGGCTCCTACCTCTACCGGCCCCACCGAAAACCTTTTGGTGGAATACCCTCTTCATGGATGATTGGGCTTTATCCAGCGCCGTGAATGTTTTGACATAGGAGCCCAGGTCTTTGACGAAGGATTCGCCAAACAAGAGACCCTTAGCCGCGGCCCCTGGTTCAGAGGAGGCCATACTAGCCAGTTTGGGTTCGATTTTCAGCAGGATGGCCTTCCTGCGTTCTGTTGACATGGCAGTATTGGCATTGCCGATCATGCAGACCAAGCGTTGGAGCCATCCAAACGCTACTTCAAAGTCTACTGGAGCCTCACCCGACTGAGCTGCTTCCAGCAGTTCGTATAATTTAGTGACAGGACCCAGAGTGTCTAGGAACTTGTCCTGACAATTACGGAGGGAGTAGTCCAGTCCCCTCTTGGCCTTCCAGCCTGTTTTGGCTAGAAACTGGGCTATCTGAGGGTCCACTTCTGGGGTTTTTGCCACAGCATCAGGGATTATGGGTCGGGGGCACTCCGCTCTCAATTTATTACGGCTCTCTTGAGAAAGGGACTTACGTACCCTGAGGGCTAGGTATCGGGCGATGTGTTCAGATGGTTCCCACTCGGCAGAGCGTGGGTGTCTTAAGTTGTCAGGGTCGAATAGCGTGACCTCTTTAGGGTCACGGGCTGCTTCTGCCTCGGGCGTCCCTGCATGAGCAGTGGTACGCGTTGCCGTCAAGGGGAACTGCTTTCCCTGGAGGCTTTCACCCTCTGAGAGCTCGTCCTCGTACGGGTCAGAGTACGGGGCGTCAGACCCCTCATCCCCCTCCTCGTCTGAGTCAGATAGTATATCATGGGCTCTAGCCCTTTTCCAGTCTCTGGTAGCCGTAGCTCGCCCAGAAGCTCTATTGCGCGGTTGTTGCGCGCCATCATGGACAGCCTGAGGCATGTCAGTCAGAGCAGGGTCAACCTGCATGGGGGGGGGTCTTGTGAATGTCTGCGTTTGGTTAACGCTTTGCGCCCTGGTAGCGACCCCTTAGGAGGGGTATGGGTCAAGGCAGGGGTAGAGAGAGGTTGTACCTGCTTGAGTGCCTGTGTAATGGAGTCCGTAATAGTAGAGGACATAGCTCCCATGGCTGAAGATATGGCCTTGGAGATAGATTTGGACATGGTGGAATCCAGGAGGCACTGGAATTCTTCAGAACCCATGAGCCCAGGGTCAACTTGGAGGTCAGGGTCAGCCATGGTCATAGGGGTGCCAAATTTGCCAGAGGATTTATCATCAGCCTGCATGGCCAGGATAATAGAGAGAAAAGTAATAAAACAAGAAATAGAAAAACTTGGAAAGAAGAGAAGGTATAGAAAAATACCAGGATTGATTAACCCAGGTATAGTAGTGGAGTGTATAGGAAGATGGAGGGATATCCAGCTTATCACAGAGATAGAGCCACAGAAAGTTGAAATCCCGCGTGTGGGAGAGGCAACACAGACATAAACGGGTATAGAAAATGGCCGCCGCCCTAACCGGCGACCAAAGAAACCAAAAAGATGGCCGCCGCGAGTAACCGCGCATGCGTGTTGCTCGCGAGCGGCGAAACCAAGGTGAGGGGGATCGCCGCGCGGACTAGAAGTAGGTCCGGCCGGCGGGGACAAAATAGTGCCGGGAAGCGCCGCGGGTGTCTCCGATGAGCCCCGGCGGCGAAAAAACCGGCAGAGAGTTTGACCGGGGCAGAGCCCCCACGGAGGGGACCGGAGGGAGGGAAGAAAAACTAACCCTAAGGGTCAAACTAGTAGTGTCCCAGTCACCCTAAAGATAAAGGCACAGCCTACAACAGAGCAATAAAACGGAGTAAAGGGGGTAAATAAATATCCCCACAGCAGTTAAAGTAAAACAGTCACTAAATAAAATAGCAAACAGTAATATAATGAAAATCTGAAATAAGAATAAACCCACAGAGCACACCATAGAAAATATGAGAGTGTACTTATCTTCTGAGGGAGCAGCGAAGAAAGAGGAAGAAGCATGGAGTGCTACACCTTATATACTAAAGGGGTGGATACCTATGAGCACTGTTCCATATGCTAATGTTATTGTTATTTTTTCTCTCATTTGCATATATCTCTCTTCGCTGCTGAGGGAGAATTAAAGAAAGAGAAGCATAATAGGAGCCTCCGTGTCTTTAATAAAATCACGCACAGAGTGGTACAGGTTTTGCTCAAGAATATCCCTGTATTTAGCACCATCCATCTTTCCCTCAACTCTGACCAGTTTCCCAGTCCCGCATGCTGAAAAAAATCCCCACAGCATGATGCTGCCACCACCATGTTTCACTGTGGGGATGGTGTTCTTTGGGTGATGTGATGTGTTGGGTTTGCACCAGACAAATCTATGGAGCATACGGCTTATTGTCGTCCTATGTACAGATACTCCAGAACTCTGCAGCTCCTCCAGGGTTACCTTAGGTCTCTGTGCTGCCTCTCTGATTAATGCCCTCCTTGCCTGGTCCGTGAGTTTTGGTGGGCGGCCGTCTCTTGGCAGGTCTGCTGTTGTGCCATGTACTTTCCATTTGGTTATGATAGATTTGATGGTGCTCCTGGGAATCATCAAAGATTTGGATATTTTTTTTATAATCTAACCCTCACTTATACTTCTCAACAACATTGTCCCTTACTTGTTTGGAGAGTTCCTTGGTCTTCATGGCAGTGTTTGGTTAGTGGTGCCTCTTGCTTAGGTGTTGCAGTCTCTGGGGCCTTTCAGAAAAGGTGTGTATATGTAATGACAGATCATTTGACACTTAGATTGCACACAGATGGAAATCATTTCACTAATTATGTGACTTCTAAAGGTAATTGGTTGCACCAGAGCTTTTTATGGGCTTCATAACAAAGGGGGTGAATACATACGCACATGCCAATTTTCTGTTTTGTATTTGTAATAAATAGTTTTATGTATATATTTTTCTCATTTCACTTCACCAACTTAGACTATTGTATTGTCTATCACAGGGCTTCCCAAACTTTATGGGCCGAGACCCACTTTTGAAAACGGGAATTTTTTGAGACCTACTTGCTTTTAAAGGACCACTCTAGGCACCCAGACCACTTCAGCTTAATGAAGTGGTCTGGGTGCCAGGTCCTTCTAGGGTTAACCCATTTTTTCATAATTATAGCAGTTTCAGAGAAACTGCTATAATTATGAATGGGTTAAGCCTTCCCCCTAATCCTCTAGTGGCTGTCTCATTGACAGCCACTAGAGGCGCTTGCGTGCTTCTCACTGTAATTTTCACAGTGAGAGCACGCCAGCGTCCATAGGAAAGCATTGTAAATGCTTTCCTATGAGACCGGCTGAATGCGCGCGCAGCTCTTGCCGCGCGTGCGCATTCAGCCGGCGGGGCGTAACGGAGGCGGAGAGGAGGAGGAGAGCTCTCCGCCCAGCGCTGAAAAAAGGTAAGTTTTTACCCCTTTCCCCCTTCCAGAGCCGGGCGGGAGGGGGACCCTGAGGGTGGGGGCACCCTCAGGGCACTATAGTGCCAGGAAAACGAGTATGTTTTCCTGGCACTATAGTGGTCCTTTAATGCATATTCTAAAAATGAATAAACTTGGCACATCATGACAGCTTTAAAGGCATTGAACTGGCACATCATGGCAATCAGTTATAGACGCATACAATTGGCACACCAGGACAATCTGCTTTAGATGCATAAAATTGGCACACCATGGCAACCCGCTTTAGATGCATAAAAATGGCACATCATGGCAATCAGCTTTAGATGCATACAATTGGCACACCATGACAATCAGCTTTAGATGCATAGAACTGGCACACGGTGGCAATCCGGTTACAAGCATAAACTAGGCACATCATGGCAATCCGCTTTAGGGGCATACACTTGGCACACTATGGAAATCAGTTTTAGATGCATAAAAGTGGCACACCATGGCAGTTTTAGAGGCATACAATTGGCACACCATGGCAATCCGCTTTAGATGCATACAATTGGTACACCATGACAATCCGCTTTAGATGCATACAATTGGCACACCATGGCAATTGGCTTTAGAAGCATAAACTAGGCACATCATGGCAATCCGCTTTAGGGGCATACACTTGGCACACTATGGAAATCCGTTTTAGATGCATAAAAGGGGCACACCATGGCAGTTTTAGAGGCATACAATTGGCACACCATGGCAATCCACTTTAGATGGATACAATTGGCACACCATGGCATTCAGCTTGAGATGCATAATCTTGGCACATTATGGCAACCAGTTTTAGATGCATAAACCTGGCATATCATGGCAGATTTAGAGGCATCGTTTTAGTATATCATGGCAGTTTTAGAGGCATAATTCTGGGATTTGGCAGTTTTAGAGGTGTAATTTTGGTATATCATGGCAGTTTTAGTGGCAGAAACTTGGCATATCACGGCAATCTGTTTTAGAGGCATACAACTAGTTACCCACAGACTCAGGCAGAATCAGAAGCGCTGTCTCCCTCTCTTTCATCCAGACATCTCACGTTGAGTATCCCAGTGGTAGATCCCCATCTGTCGGAGAACTCCAACAATGCTATGCCAGCTGAGGATCTACCATTTGCCCACCGTTGCAGGGTTGTATTTGTGAGCAGTGTTTGAGCGTATGAATGTAAGCATGTTTTTGTATGAAGTATATGTGTTGATGTATGGGTGTATTTGTATGTACTGTTGACATTGGAATGTAGTGGTGTACTTGTGTGTAGTGCTTGCGTCTGAATGCAAGGGTATTTGTATGTAGTGATGCATTTTAAATACAGATGTGCTTTAATGTGTAGTGTTGGTGTTTGAATGAAGGTGTGTTTTTATATAATTTTAGTGGTTTAATACAGGGGTGTGTTTGTTGTGTTTGACTGCAGTGCATGTGTAGTGGATGCAGTGTGTGTATATTGTGTAATTAAACATATATACAATGTGTGTTTGATTGTAAGCATGGAGTATGTGTGTGAATGTACATGTTTGAATGCAGGTATGCATTTGTGTGTAGTGTATACACTTCCACACACACTGAGACACATACTCATACAGTGATACACACGCATGCAAATACACAGACTGACAAAGCAGTACACATGCAGACACACACAATGACACGTTACACAAACTGACACAGATATACAGACACAAATACAGACACACACACACAGGGTAGGTGACTGTGACAGTGTGGGGGGGGAAGAGAGGGCGATACAGGATGCGGAGGGGTTATCAGGCGGAGGAGGGCAACCCCTGCTGGGGATTGGGCGGCGACAGCGGGGAGGAAGCGCTGCGACAGCAGTGGAGCAAGTGACAGTGCGGGAAGTGACAAGCGGTGGCAGGTATGCGACAGTGGGGAGGGTGGCGGCGACAGCGGGGAGCGTAAGCGGCGATTGCGGCGCGCGGCGGACAAGGGATCATAAGGGCGGACAGTGGGGATCAAGTGGGCGGGGCCACAGTGGGGACTGGGCGGGTGACAGCGGGGAGTGATAAGGGGTGGATTATGGGGAGGGTGAGGGTGTCACCGTGGGGAGCGAGGGGTGACAAGGGTGGGGGGAGTGAGGGCGACAAGGTGGGGTGGGGCTTGAGGTGACACAGGAAGCTTTGAGGGCGTGACAAGGTGGGTGGGGGAAGTGAGGGTGACAAATGGGGGGAGGGGTGACAAATGTGGGGAGGAGGACAGCAGGGAAGAAAAGCACGGGGAGGTGGAGGGCTGATGAATGTGGGGAGGAATGGTGACAGTGGCTGTGGATGAGGCGATGCGTGTGGGGAGATGAGGGTGACTGCAGGGTGGAGGTGGAGGGGTGACAGTGGAGGTGGAGGGGTGGACAGAGTGTGTAAAAGGTGAGGGGTGATTAAGGGAAGGTGGAGGGGTGATGGAAAGTGGGGGGAAGGTGAGGGTGACAGTGTGGGTGGGAGGTGAGGGTGACAATGCGGGAGGGAGGTGAGGGTGACAATGTGGGGGGAGGTGAGGGTGACAGTGGGGGAAGTGACAATGTGGGGGGGTGACAATGTGGGAGGGAGGTGATGGTGACAGTATGTGGGAGGTGAGGGTGAAAGTCATTCAAATACCTTTTTCTGCAGTCCCTGGTGATCCAGTGGTCTCTTCTCCTTCCTTCTTCCCTGGTGGTCCGGTGGCTCTTGCTGTCCTGTCTGCCGCTTCCCCTCCGCCGCAGGCAGACCATGCAGACATAGTCTTGCGAGCTCTGGCACGTGTAACAAGGATTTCTCCCCATTTCAGAGGAGCCCTGAACCCAGCGGCACATATTGCAAGCCGCTGGGCACCCTCTTGTTGTCAGGCCCTTGACTGTCTCCCGGCGTGGGTCAGTGCGACCCACCAGAAATCAGCCTGTGACCCACAGTTTGGGAAACCGTGGTCTATCACATAAAATTCTGATTAATAAAACACTGAAGTTAAGGCTGTAATTTAACAAAATAGGTAAGAAGTCAAGGGGGGTAAATACTTTTGCAAGGCACTGTATGTAAAGAAAGCCCTTCTTTTCCTGAAAAACCCCCAATATATAACCTGTATGGGAATAGTAAATGAGAGAGAGGAAAATTACAGCTAAACACAAACACCACAAAAATGTTAAACCCTTAAGGACACAACTTCAGAAATTAAAGGGGAATCATGACGGAATGTTTCCGTCATGTGTCCTTAAGGGGTTAAGACAGCCCTGAGTCCTTAACGTACAACATGGCCAAAACAATCCAATCCTGAAGGGGTAAATAAAAAGGGAATGTTTATCAGTAGGTCGTCATTGGAGCCATCAGTGAAATGATTCTATTTAAATGTGTTTTAAGGTTTAGATGTTCATATGCTTTAAAATATATCGCATGTCACTTAAGTCGGAATAGCCCCATACCGAACAAGGCGTGCGAGGCCTTTCGGACTGCAGAATATGGACATTGTTAATACTATTTACAATTAAAACCAGAGAGAGAGAGATACAGAGTTTTCTTTATACATTCTGTTCCTATATGTAATAAAATGCAAATTTATTATTAACCCCTTAAGGACACATGACATGTGTGACATGTCATGATTCCCTTTTATTCCAGAAGTTTGGTCCTCAAGGGGTTAAAGGGGTTATAGTGTACCCAAAACCATATATATTATCACCTGTAACACCTGTAATAATACATTTGCATTTTATTAGATATAGCTGTTCTCAATATATATCTCATAAAGTGCAATAATATACCATACAATTCTTAAAGTGAATACCATCAAATGTGATCGATAATACAGTGCTTCAAAAGACCCAAAGCAAAACTGGTATCATCTAAAAGAGTATGAGAATTATTGCTATGTCAGTTGTCAGCATCCATAGTACATTTGGCATGAAAGGAAAATGTAGAATATACTGTAGTACTTCCCACCATTTATTTTAGAATACGAAAATAAAAGTATATACTCTTCCAAGCATAAATGCACATGTTGTAAATTTTGCTCAAAGCTCATGTACACTGGCCAGGCTGGTGAACCTCTAGCAGACCAGAATCTTGTATCTTCAGAATCTGAGGACACTGTGGTCACGGACACAGAGCCCTTTCCAGGAAACTTAACAGCATGAATGTACTCCAGGCAATGTGTAAAAAGGATAACTCAAATTAACAATATTTAATAATTTTGCAATTCAGGCTTCATTAAGGTACATAATAGCGGAAGGATTAAATCCAGAACTGAATACTTCAAATGCAGGCCTAAATCTGAAAAAATACACACTATTTGCATGCTGACAGAGCTAGCAGTCATCAGGTAAATAATAATAAAATTAAAAAAACTTCACCGTGAGGGTTAACTATGTGGAAGCTGGCCAGCACTTGCTTAAAAAAAATCACCCCCATATTACTTTAAGGGAGGTTTTTAACTTCTCTATGCCCCCACCTGCATAGACACTTATTTTAATCCAGACACAGAATGCATCCGGGCGATTGTTGCAGATGTGCTTGGACCAACCAAATTTTGACTGGGTTTGGCTTTAGGAAATGTAAGAATGGTTGGAATTCGGCCATCTTCACCAGTTTGTGTCCTTCTGGACAAAATGCAGTGTTTAGTGAATAACCCTGGTAGTGTTATTGATGTCATAAATTAAAAACTTTATATTAACTCTTACAGCATTATTCACTATAGTGAGAGTTGCTGGGAATTCAAAGACAAAAAATAACCAAACTTAAAACAGAATTGGCTTGAAGAATGTTTTTAATTTAGCTATTTTAGCATACATTTTGTAATTTACTTTAAATTCCCTGAAATTTAGTGAACTTTAGTGAATAATGCTGGTAGTATTTTTTTTTTTTTTTTTTGAGAACATTGGGCAGTTTGGACAAAGTGGGTACAGTTTTATAAAGTAGGAATTATCTTGTCAGTGGTACTATGCAACACATCTTTGGGCTATGATTGGCGGAGGGTGTTATCCAGACCTATCATAGTTTAGCTGTTCGTTTCAATGGAGCACATTGTCAAGCACTAACATTACCTACAAACAATGAAAAA